AGATATATTTAAATTGCTATTATATACTGTCACATGTTTATACTTTCTCTTATCTAGTCATTGTTATTGGATACTGAATATCGTGAGTCTTACTATAAGTTCTATATGTTGTAGAACTTTTTCTAAAGGTCATAACTATTTTAATAAAACAGTTGCTTTTATTTGAGATTTATGTTCCAGCTCTTAACAAATCTAAAGCAGCTTTTGTCTCCAACATTTCCACTGAATTCACAGGATTCAAAAAGGATTCCACTTTCTGATTTTTTCAAATCCAGTGTCTTCCTGTGGTATAGATTCTGAGAAATCACACTTCATAATGTTAGGCTGGAGATGAAGGTAAGCAATAGAACAACTGTCTGCCATGCAGGAGTCCCTGATGTCAAATCCCATGATTGCCCAAAAGAAAACTGTCACTTTACAATGGTAGGACATTCTTTCTAAGACCATACTGGTGTTCAAAGTATACACACAAAATTCAGAGTTCAGTCACAAACTCAAGGGGAAACTTCAAATGGAGAAAACAAAACAAAAAAAAACACAGAATATATAACACATAAGAAACAGAAGTGAGTAGATGGAAACAACTAAAATTAAATCAATTGAATGAATTAGAATCCAAAAAATCCATAGAAAGAATCAACAAAACAAAGAGTTGTTTCTTCAAAAAATTAACAAAATTGACAGACCCTTAGCAAATCTTATCAGAAAAAGAAGAGAACACAGCCAAATAAACTCAGAGATGAGAATGGAAACATCACCACAGAAACAACAAAGATTAAGAACATTTTATATGCTAATAAGTTTGAGAAGCTGGAAGAAATGGATGTTTTCCTAGCAAATATCGACATGCTGAAACTAAACCAAGATGAGTTAAACCAACTTAACAGACCCATATGAAGCATCAAAATAGAAACAGCAATAAGAGACTTCCCATCTAAGAAAAGCCCAGGACCAGATGGGTTTACAGTGGAATTCTACAAGGCCTTCAAAGCAGAGCTTACACCAATACTCCTCCAAATCGTCAATGAAATAGAGAGAGAAAGTTGACTATGAAGCCATCGTAACCCTCATACCCAAATCAGGCAAGGACTCATAGGACTCATAGGTTACCCTATAGACCCATTTCTTTGATGAACTCTGATGCAAATCTTCTCAACAAAATCGACTTGAACAATTAATCAAAAAAATCATACATCACGATCCAACAGGATTCATTTCAGAGATGCAAAGCTGGTTCAATATATGCAAATCAATATAATTCATCACATCAAAAAGAGCAAGGATAAGAACCACATGGTTATATAATAGATGCAGAAAAAGCATTTGACAAGACCTAACATCCATTTATGATGAAGGCTCTGGAAAAACTAGGAATCCATGGAACATTCCTCAATAAAATAAAGGCTGTATATGACAAACGTACAGCCAGCATTATACTTAATGGTGAAAAACTAAAGTCATTTCCTCTTAACTCAGGAATGAGACAAGGATGTCCACTCTGTCCACTTCTCTTCAATTTAGTATTAGAATGCCTAGCTACAGCAATAAGAAAAGATGCAAACATAAAGGGGATCCAAATAGGGAAAAGTGAAGTAAAACTCTCTTTCTTGGCAGATGACATAATCTTTTATTCAAAGAATCCCATGAACTCCACTCCCAAATTACTCAAGCTGATTCAAAATTTTGGCAAAGTTGCAGGGTAAAAAATTAACCCTCAAAAATCAGTGGCTTTTCTGTATGCCAACTATGAGAAAAGGCAGGCTGAAATCAAGAAAGCAACTCCATTTGTAATAGCCCCACAAAAAATAAAATACCTAAGAGTTAACTAAAGGAGTGAAGGACCTCTATGATGAGAACTTTAAAAACCTGAAAAAGGAAATCAAAAAAGAACTTAAGGAAGCAGAAAAACCTCCCACGCTCTTGGATTGGAAGGATCAACATTGTGAAAATGGCAATACTTCCAAAGGCTATCTACAAATTCAATGATACACCTATCAATATTTCAACCTCATTCTTCAATGAAATAGAAAAAGCAAATTTGTATGGAACAATAAAAGACCCAAATAGCAAAAACGATCCTGAACAGAAAGAACAATGCTGGAGGAATATCAATACCAAATTTCAAACTCTACTACAAAGTCATAGTAATCAAAACAGCTTGGTACTGGCACAAGAACAGACCTGAGAACCAATGGAATAGAACTGAAAACCAAGATATGAACCCACAGACCTATAGTCACCTAATCTTTGATAAGGGAGCTAAAAAAATAGAATGGAAGAAAGACAGCCTCTTCAGTAAATGGTGCTGGCAAAATTGGTTAAACACCTGTGGAAAACTAAAGTGAGATCCTTACATATCATCCTGAAACAGAATCAACTCCAAAAGACCTCAGAGACAAAGAAGAAAATCTGAAAACATAGGAAGGAATAGGAGAAACCCTAGGTCTCCTTGGCACAGGCTGAAATTTTCTTCATAGACACCCAGAAACACATCAAATCCAAGAAAGGTTGGACAAACGGGATTGCGTGAAGCTGCAGAGCTTCTGCATGGCAAAGGACATAGCAAGATCAATAGAAAGTCCACGGATTGGGAGAAAATCTTCACTAGTCATACAATGGACAAGGGTCTCATATCTAAAATATACCTGGAACTCAAAAATTAAATCCCCCAACAACAAATCCTCAAATAAACAAAATCATGATAAATAAGTGGGCTAATGACTTAAAGAGAAACTTCTCTGAAGAGGAAAGAAGGATGGCCAATAGACACATGAAGAAATGCTCAACCTCTCTAGCCATAAAAGAAATGCAAATCAAAACAACATTGAGATTCCACCTCACCCCAGTTAGAATGGCTATAATCAAGAACTCTAATAACAACAGATGCTGGAGGGAATGTTCAACCACTTTGGAAAGTAATATGGAGGTTCCTCAAAAGACTCCACATAGAGCTCCCCTATGACCCAGCAATCCCACTTTTGGGCATTTACCCAAACGATCAAAACCAAGGCCATACTAAGTCTATCAGCATATATATGTTTATTGCAGCATTATTCCCTATAGCTAAGATATGGAGCCAACCCAGCTGCCCCTCATTAGATGAATGGATCAAGAAAATGTCACACACACACACACACACACACACACACACACACACACTGGAATTCTATGCCTTCATCAGAAAGAATGACATTGCCCCTTTTGTTAGGAAATGGAAAGACTTGGAAGAAACATAATCTCATGGTTTCCCTTATTTGCAATAATTAGTACATATCTGGGACAAACAGAAAAGGTAAAAAAAAACTATGTACATATGACTATATGAGATTTTGTTAAGCAAAATGAACCCCAAGATAGGAATAGATTTTTTTCTTTGTTGCTCCTGTTTCTAACATATTTATAATGTACCATGTCATTTTTTTGTTCCTTTGTATGTTCCTCCCCTATGGTATAATCTCTGTTTTCACTGTATTTGAGGTCAGTGACCTGCATCTTGTATATACATTTCTTTACTTTGGGGAGAGGAAAGAAAAAAAAACAAAATAAAGGTGATATTACTTAAAAAAAGAATCTTAGGATTTTTTTTAAAAAAGGGAAACAAAGGAGGAGGCATCAATGCTTGATTAGAAATGCACTCATTACTTTGCCCATGTAATTGTAACCCCTCTGTTTGGCATTTTCACAATAAAAATAAATAAATAATAAAAAGGAAATACATTTTCATAGAGAAATATGACTGTGATATGAAAGAATTATTTCTTTAAAATATTTTTACTCTTAAGGTGATGTGCAGAGGGATTACAGTTACATAAACCAAATAATGAATACATCTCCATTTGACCCGTATTTCCCTCTTCCTCATTCTCTCCCAGTTTTTCCCTCCTGTCATCCCGCCCTCAAGTTGTATATTTCATTTCCAACATAGTATCTAGTGTGAAAGAATCATGTCTAAAATAAAAGAATTTGATTCTCTTACATTTTCTTATAATCTCCAATATTCTACCTGTCAGACTTTATTTGTACAGTTAAGTTCCATCACAATCAGAGGACACTGCAAAAGCCTGAAACATGATATTATCTAGTTAGTTATCTTTGTTTTTCAAATCTGAAAAATGGATGCAGGTAGCTAATTAGTAAAGCCAATGAGAATATAGAGTATATTCCATAATGATCACAGTGGAGAAATACTAAGTTCACCAATAATATAAAAAATATTTCTTCATTGTATGTCTACTTATCCAAAGAGAGAAACACAAAAGGCATACGAATTTTAAGTATAATTAATCTCTTTATGAGAGAAAACTAGAGTAAAAGCACAAATTTCTAAATTTTCATAAATGGCTACAGTATATTTAACTTAATTCATACTTCCATGAGGCACAGAAGAATGAGAAAACTGGGGCAAAAGTATGCGCAGCTAGAATTTCAGTTAGCAGGCTTTTATAGAAATAAATGTACTGGGAAGAATGAGAATGAGTGAGTGAGAGAGCAATGTCTGGGATAAATATTCTTTAAGCCTAATCATAAAGCTTTACATTTTCATGCATTGTGAAAGCATTCAATATTAAATACAATTACAATATTCACTACAGAAGGGATAAGATGGTTTATACACAAACAAAATGCACAAGCAGGAGATTGGCTCTGCAGGTTTTATTACAATGAGTCACAGAAGCACAAGATACCTCTCATTCTGTCCTGTCATTCCAAGACTTCTCTACTCCTCCATAGCACATTTGCTTTCCTTTTCTGATTATCTTTGCTCTATATCCATTAAGTATATCTATTTTCTTTAAAATCATTCCATTTTATGTATTGTTTTTATATAAAAACTTTGTTTTTTTAAGTTGTTTTCACATTAACCTATGAAAAGCAATTAAAAATACCTATGTGTACACTACAACAATATGTATTGAACCAAACATTGCCAAGTTTCTGGATGGGTATATACAAAAGAAATATTTATGCACATAACCCAATTAGCAATAGCCCTATTTTTATCAGAACCCAATGAAACTGTGTAAGCGATTCCAAATCCTCTGTAAAGCATTTTTGACATCTTTGTTCCTCAGGCTATAAATCAAGGGATTCAACATGGGGATAATCAAGGTGTAAAACAAGGAAGCCACTTTCTCCGTATCTACTGAGTGAGTGGACTTGGGCTGCACATACATAAATATCAACGTTCCATAGAAGACAATGACTACTGTCAAGTGAGACCCACAGGTAGAAAAAGCCTTGCGTCTGCCCTCAGCAGATTGTATCCTGAGGATGGCTACAAGAATGAGCAGGTAGGACACAAGGACTATCAGCAGAGAGGAGATCAAATCAAAGGCTGCTAAGATTAGAATGATCAATTCAATTTCCTGTGTATCTGAGCAGAGTAAAGATAACAAGGGAAGGCTGTCACAGTAGAAATGACTGATAACGTTGTAGCCACAGAAGGACAGAGTGAAAATCTTTATGGTGACGAGAAGAGACACAAATGTGCAGTAGAGATAGGGGATTGCCACCAGCATATGACACACGCTCTGTGACATGATGATGGTGTAGAGCAGTGGTTTGCAGATGGCCACGTAGCGGTCATAAGACATGGCCGACAGGATAAAGAGTTCACTAATGATGAACACAAGGAAGAAAGCTAGTTGTATGGCGCAAAAATTATAGGAGATTATATTTTGATCCACCACGAAATTCACTAACATTTTGGGGCCCACGGTTGTGGAATAACCAAGGTCAGTGAAAGCCAGGTGTCTGAGAAAAAAGTACATCGGAGTCTGTAGCCTGGAGTCCACCATGGTGAGGACGATCATGCCCAGGTTGCCCACCACGGAGACCACGTAGATGAGGAGGAACAGAGTGAACAATGGCGCCTGCAGCTCAGGACGATCCGTGACGCCCATCAGGATGAATTCTCTCAGCACCGTGAGATTGCGTGTCTCCATCGAGGTTTATCATAAAACCTATTCTGAGTAGAGCTGTAAGCATAGTCAACAGATTTCCTTTGTTAATTCACAGGAGTCTTTAGTAAACAAAGTACAATTACTATACATCTGGACTTTTCAATGTATGATATTAAAAATTAATTTCATTTTACAGAAATACACTATGCATGGCCTACTTTAGAGACAGAGACAGTAATAGATCAGTCATCCTTAACTGAGGTCATCATCCACCATTTTCCAATACCTAGGTACATTTTCTTTATGTCTGAAATGGAAAGTTTTTCTGCTTTTGGTATCTAAAATTTAGAAACCAAGTAAGCTGAAAAATCTCCTGTATTCTTTATGCCTCCCTGAACAATATCCAGTACAAAATTTTAATAGTGTTGAAGTTAAGGAATTCTGATGAGATATAAAGATAGATTGAGAGATGATAGAAACTAATAACAAAATATTTTCTAGCAGAGCACAGTTTTCAAAAAAGAATTGACAATTATGCCTTAAATCTAATTCTAATCACAATCATACTTCTAATTTAATTTAATAATATTTTATCTAGTAATTCTAGTTAGATCAAGTACTTCAAAACATAGTTCTCTGAAAACCTTTACATCTACTGTTGGTAAATTTCTAACTTTAATATACTAGACAGAGTTTAGACATTTGCTTTAATAAGATCACAGTAGAATCATTTCTATACAAGTAGAGAAAATATTAGGAGGTATATGTGTGGAGATAAGTCCTAGACTATGTCTTAATCTGTAATGGTTGCAAAGGATCACTCTGAGCAAACAGTATATTTAGAAGAATGTTATAGAAAGCTATTTATTCTCTGATTGAAAATCAACATGCTTTGTGGCAGATTTATTAGGATGTGTGAAAATTACAACTTTCAATGGACCTCTGCTACTTCATACATAATTCTAAATATTAAATACATAATGGGATCTTTTTTGCATTTGCCTTTTGAATTTGTGAACATACCTTACCTGATAGTTTGTAAATTCATATGGATGGTGAAGTAGTTGCTTCTCGGGTTTATGATGTTGTATAGATGCCAAATAAGAGTAGGACATAATGTGTATAATGTAATCTCTCTTCTTGTCTCTACTCAGTGACAAAAAATACATAATCAAGTGTTACTGTTTTGCATCACTGATCCTACCTAGTTTGATAATATTATAATATAAATTATTTCTGCACACATATGCTTGAAATATTACTTTTACCCAGAGGGCAATTTATAACTGACAAACACTAATGTGCCCATAAGGTGAAGTGTTCTTAGTCCTGCCAGATACTGGGGTAGAGGTAAGAAGTCTGAGCCAGGACCAGGGCATTGGCTTTATATAAGTTTTGGAGAATCCTCTATGGTTAAAATAATAGTGTAGTTTAAAAATTAAAAACATATCAAAATCTATATTATGGAAGATTACAGGGACAAAATAAAATTCACCCTAGATGGTATATATATTAAATTCTGCATGGGATTTGTAACTCTTTCATGTATGTAAGCAATACAAAATTCTTCAACTTAGTATAAACTGCATAATGTAGATTACAACAAACAAAATAAAATATATCTGAATACTCTAAAGATCATGTCAGATTATGATGTGGAAGGCATGTTGACATAAGAGAATTGTCTATTTAAATTTATTGAATTCTGGAAAAAAGCTGGAGGTACTAGGTATTGAATATATGACTTGCTTCATTTGCTTGCTTAGCTGGTGCTCTACCATTTGAATCATACCTTCATCCCCAATTCTTTAAAAGGAGAAAGAAAAGCAATAGTGGTATGTTAGGAAAGTTGTAGTGGCAACAGACTCTGAGTGAGTTAGAAGAAAAATAAATAAAACATACCATTTCATATTACAAGTAATTTGATTAGAAGTAATTTGAATTAGATCATATAAAATATTTCCAATTTCCAATCAGATCACAACCTGTGATGAATACAAATTCAGTTGTTATATTCAATGTACATTATGTAAAAATTGAACTATGTAATTTGAGAGTAGGGAGTAGAAGGGGAAATGGGGGAGAATAATGGAAGTGGTGACATTGATCAACATGTATTGTACTCATACTTTGGCTTCTGAAATTAGTACTCCCTTGTATCTACTACAAATCCATAGTAATCAAAACAGCTTGGTACTTGCACTAGAACAGACCTGAGAACCAATGGAATAGAACTGAAAACCCAGAAATGAACCCACAGATTATAGCCACCTAATCTTCAATAAGGGAGCTAAAAAAATAGAATGGAAGAAAGACAGCCTCTTCAGTAAATGGTGCTGGCAAAATTGGTTAATCACCTGTGAAAACTAAAACTAGATCCTCATATATCACCCTGCACCAGAATCAACTCCAAATGGAGCAAAGACCTCAGAGTCAAAGCAGAAACTCTGAAAACATTACAGGATGGAATAGGAGAAACCCTAGGTCTCCTTGGCACAGGCCGAAATTTTCTTAATAGAGACCTAGAAACACAACTAATCAAAGAAATGTTGGACAAATGGGATTGCTTGAAGCTGCAGAGCTTCTGCATGGCAAAGGACATAGCTGTCAAGATCAATAGAAAATCCACAGATTGGGAGAAAATCTTCACTAGGCATACAACAGACAAGATATACTTAGGACTAAAAAAATTAAATCCCCCAACAACAAATCCTCAAAAAAACAACTGCCCAGTAAATAAGTGGGCTAAAGACTTAAAGAGAAACTTCTCTGAAGAGGAAATAAGAATGGCCATTAGACACATGAAGAAATGCTCAACCTCTCTAGCCATAAAAGAAAAGCAAATCAAAACAACATTGAGATAGCTTATAAACTTGTAAGTAAATATGTTGGCTGGTATACAAGTGTAGACAAACATATTAACTGAAATATGTTGGATTCAAAGGAGAGCTCAAGTAGTGTAATTTCTTAGAAAACAAAGTCAAAGTTCAGCAAAATAAAACATCAGGAAGCAGGTATTTGTTTTTTGTTTTGTAGGTTGTGGGGCTTGAACTCTGGGCCTGGGCGCTGTCCCTCAGCTCTTCAGCTCAAGGCTAATGCTCTACCACTTTTAGCCACAGCACCACTTCCAGTTTTCTGGTAGTTAATTGGAGATAAGGGTCCAATGGACTTTTCTGCCCAGGCTGGCTTTGAACTGGGATCCTCAGGTCTCAGCATGAGCCACCAGAGCCCAGCTAAGAAGCAGGTATTTGAAAAAGGTGGGTTTGAGTCCAAGGAGAAAAGAGAAGACAAATGAAGAGGAGAAGAGGGTAGGGTAATGCAGTCAAGAATCCAATGTAGATCCTACAAAATTAAGAAGTATGAAAGAAGGAGTGGCTAGGGGAGGGATGAGTGAGAACGTTGGAAGGGGTGTGATCAAGATATATTCATAAACTGCTTTGTTAAATGGCAACTCCCTTGTACAACTACGTAAGGATAATAAAGTAAGTATACACATTTAAAACTCTAAAACTTACAAAATGTATTAATAACAAAATAGATCCCAATCTTCTATTTGTCTACTATGTCCCCATGAATGTATCTTTACTGCATTAAAATAGGATAATATAAACACCAGTAGGCGGTGATGTTGGGAAATTTCTTCAGTAAATATAATACATACTATGCATTTTATATATTATTTTATAATTAATTAAGAACAGCCACAAAGAACTAAAGAGAAAAAGGCATTTGGAAAATACCTGAGGTTTTGTAAGGTCAGAAAAGATCAGTAATTACTTTCATGTCAGCTTTGGAAGAGGTAGGAAAGAAACTGAGTGGTATTCCATTTTCCCCTCCTCGGGTTTTACCTCAGTTGTAAATAAACTTACTAATATAAAACAAGTATTAATAAAATTATAAAACCCATTGTATATATAAATATATATATATTATCTTTTCATACTGCTAGTATTTTCTAGTAAAAAAATTTCTGTTTGAGAAAATTCATAGATACTTTTGGTGAGATACCCCTGGAAATCAAAGTGTATTGAGGGCATTCTGTTATCATAATATTAGTTCCTGAGAAGTTTGCTAATCTTCAAATCTTTCCACATATAAACAGAAGGTAGAAACTCTCTTTTACCTCATCAACACACAAAGAAAGAATCATAACCACATATTTAGTTAAATAATTATTGGTGTTACAGAATTTAAGACTATTCCTATATGACTATTTTTATGGGCTCATAGAGCTTAAAAGCTAGTAAATCATTCTTTAGAATAATACCAATCTAATTAGCTAGACAGTGTCTTCTTCTTCATTAGTCCATTTAAAAAAGTGTTCATATTATTTTAGTGCTGTCTCATTTACTTTATGTTTTTGCCTTAATTAGAGATAATTTATTTATATAAAACAAACATTTTGTGCACAATACCATGGCGTCATTTTAATGTTTCATATATATTTAGATATTAAATTTCACAAAGAATTTAAAAGGTTATTCAAGGAAAAGTAACCTTTATTTATTCTTTTCTAGAAGCTAGGACTGGAGTTTGAACTCAAGGTATCATACTACAACAAAGCTTTCTGGCTTATGGCTCACCTGTACAACTTGAGCCATATCACCAATTCCAGCTTTTGGTGGTTAATTGGAAATTAGAGTCTCACTGACTTTCCTGCTGTAGTAGGCTTCTAATCAAGATTCCCAGATTTCAGCCTCCTTGAGTGCCAACAGCTTTTGTTACCCTCTGCTACTAAAATGAAAGATGCAAATGTCATTGGAACACTGCGGTAGTTTGTGATGTGTAATCTCCTTCCTCTTTACAAATTTTTACCTGTGCTGAAGCCTTTCTCTGGACTCCTCCAAGTATTTCTCACATGGCATTTTGAGAATAATTTATGGAATTTGTCGTCTCTTGAGGCTCTCCCTAAGGAGCTGTTAAACTGGTAATTATGCCTAATAAATCTAAGAATTTAACAAGATATCTAGAGGCTGCACTCGATTAACCAGGGGCACTTTGTATTCATTGGTGTATTCTGTTTCTCCAGGAAAATAGAAGAG